CTCATGGCACCTCACCCCATCCATCTAACTCTCGTTCGTTACGTCCGCGTATCTGTCCACCAAAGTTCAATCCCTGGTACCGGTATTTTGAGAATTGAACTCTTAGTGCCACTGATTGCTCACCTCGCGACGACAATAGTGACTACACGTGGGCCAATGCTCCAGCACGACCTTGTGTTGCACGCGAGCACATGGCGGTCAAGAGGAGCCTTGTGCTTGCGTGTACTTCTCGAAATATTGAATCCAATACCCATAGATATGACTAAATGGTCATCATTCGGGATCAATTTCTCCATCATCCAGTGCTAGCCGGCTTCAACTCAATCTGGTCGGTGTCCACCTGTGTCACACAGGCTGTGTGACTGAGATTCATACACCTTTTGAAGGCCTATTTCGCGTTTAGTAATGAAGACGATCGAGACATGTGGCAGAACTCAATGACGTCCCACTATCGACGGTGCGTTCGTCAGAGTTGTTATCTGGGTTTGGCATGATGATAGGTATAACGACCCACTAGACGAAATTGAATGTCCTATCAGCGAAATTGATTCCCGCACTTTGGTGAAATAGAACTTACTTCAGACATGCCAGCGAAATTGATTGTACTAATGACACGTGTCGTCGAAATTGGTTTTTCTATCGAGTGCGCTGGCGAAATTGATCTTACTAAGGCATATCTTGGCTTGAATGATCGCTCGCCCTGCGAAATTGATCGTACTAAACGCGAAATAGGCCTTTAAAAGGTGTAGTTTCGTCTTCTAATACGATGGCCATGACCGAAAAGCAAGGTTTCCCTCGGCTTCGTTTTTTTACTTCTGACTACTGCCCTTTCGCGCAGCGAGCTCGTATAGCTCTAGAGTGGTTCAAGGTAGGTGACCTCAGACCAACAAACTATTCTTCTAGGTACAGTCAGTTGTTGTTGTGGGTGTGTGGATGGGCGTTCCGATTGTTATTCCGTAGATTCCATTCGAGTTGATTGAAGCCATTACTTTCTCCGAGGGTGGTTCGGAGTACGACAAGCATCCTCTACTGCTCGAGAAGAATCCCAAAGGCCTTATCCCAACGCTGCTCGTCAACTGGCCTGATGGACGCGAAGAAGTCGTAGGCGACGGTTCGGCGTAGGAGGAGAACTGAGAGCGTGTTCCTGGGTCAAGGTCACCGAGTCTCTCGTTGTGGTGGAGTATATAGACAACTTGGCTGCCAAGTTCGGCTTCCCCGGAGAACCTTTGCTACCTCGGGATGACCCCACGGAGAGGTGCTCTTCTCTTTCGACCGACCTTCGAATCATCGCCTCCTTTTTGGACAGGCAACGTCTCCTCGAGAGGGCTACCTTCTATAACAAGAACATCACCTCACCATTCTACGCGGTCCTAATGCGGGGTGATAAAGCTGAGTTCGACAAGATGGTTGCCGGCGCCGAGAATTTCATCTCGGAGGTGCACCTCGTTCCGCTACGGGTGAACTGCCTCCTGAGGGTTGCTCTAACTTCAGATGAGAGGGCCTTTCTTCAACGGCTCAGCGATTAGTATTGTCGATATCGCTGCTTATCCTTGGATACTGAGATCGTTCCTCCTGGGCTATTATAAA